GAACGTCTTTCCAAACATATAATATTCACATTATGTTTGGCATGCTGCAAAAAACCTTGGAAATCCACGCCAATCAAAGGTATGCAGAGCATTACTTGATTGGAATACAGACATCATAAACCACTTCTGGTTTTCCTGTTGCTCTGCTACAGACTTGGATAATTTTATGGTAACACTTTTTTCATGTGATTCTTATGAATGAAATAAATGTTTTTACTCTTTTATAAGTTTGATAGGTATTGATAATGATATTATTGATTTCTTTTTCGGAAATATAGTGTGGTATTGTTCACCATATCATGAATGAACACGAATGGGATATTTCCTTTGGCAGCAACTTTTTGTTGCTTGCCAATGTAAGCATGGCCCACTGCAGGGGGGCCACAAGGAGTGGATGAACAAAGGCAGTCCTCCACACAAAGCCTTAGTCGAAATCATTTTTAGCAAACAATTTTTAAAGTCTATTCCATACTACTTTAATTTTAGGTGTACAATATCATGTGTTACCTTCTTAGTAAATAATTATCTTCTTACCAGAAAGTGGTATTTCCTGTATTTTAAAACCATGGTAGGATGAAATATTTCATCTCTGTTATGTTGTGTTACAGAAGCACTGCAGAGCTGGAGAACGTTAACAATCTGATCTTGCTATACAGTAAAAAGAGATTCGCTTAATCCCCACCTGTAAACCGTGCTCAAAATCAGTTGGCAACCCTTGATTACAATGCCAAGGTTGACCGAGAAGTGAAAATAAAATTGGATGGAACAGTTCAGCAAGTTAACTTTGATACAAAAAAATCTGCTTCAGTCAGAAATAAGGAAATATTATTATCAAATATTTCAACAACTATTTCCTTTTATAGCATCTTACTTCACACACCACATCTAATCGGCCCTCAGAAGCAAAGTTTTATTTGATTTTGAGGTCACAAGGTCATAAAGTTATGGGTCAAACAAGAATGAAAATATCGTCCAGTCAGTATCTTGTGATCAATGAATGCCAGGCATGATACTTTTCTCACTCACAGTCCTTAAGCAGTAAAATACTCCTTTGGACTTTGAGTCTGTTCAATAACTTGTGATCCCTTTTATGTGTACCTGTCTCAGGCACATGAAAACATCAAACGTGGCTTAAACTTGGCTTTGCAGTTGCATCTGACTAGTTAGCTCACCTGAGCTGAAAGCTCATTCATTACTTTCAAATGAAAGAACACTAAACAACAACACACTATTTGGACATAGCAACGGCATGCAGCAGCTTTATTATATTGTGCAATGCACATATAACATGTAAATATGAAAATCAATTATTTACATATATATGTACAGGACTGTCTATCATAAAGTTGGATTGACTAAATATAAATGAAATTCAAACTTTAATTGTGCTCTACGAGTCATCCTAAACTGACCTTTAAACAACTAGTCACCTCATATATAGCCTTGCTAACAAGACTGCTTCTATAGAACCATGTGATATTAACCAGGTATTTGAATGAAAATCTTGAATGTTGAACAAGTGATTGGTCATATTTGTATGAAAGCATTCTTGGGTAGTGTAGATTCAAATTTGTTTGAATCGTAACCCTGGGTGGTAAGTGGAGGGCCACATAATGTGATCAAAATTTTACATATGAATGAACAGTAGGGCCATAGTGACTTAAGTGAATGTTGTGACCCATGGTCCTGTTGGTCATAAATTGTATTTCTTTCATTATTTTATTCATTCCATCTTTAAGTTGATCCTTTTCCATATTGCCATGGTTGATATATATTCATCTTCCAAAAGATTTGTACTACATCCATTAATGTTATTTCAATTTTATAAAAAAATTTTCTTCATGAATAGGCAACATAGGACAATCAACAAAAAAAGAGGTCCTTGGAGGGTTTCTCCCGTCGAAGTAGACAAAAGCTATGAACATATCCATCTTCTGCAAGAAAGAATTGTAGAGGCCAGACTGAATGACCAGCAAGGTATGAACCACCTTGAAGTGTTGGACGCAGATGATCAAGACCAACAGCTGAACTTCAACAAGAAAAAAATCTCTCGTTTTCAGATCAAATCTTGATTTTATAAGGATTGCCATTTCTATTTTATGTAATGGAGATTGACAGTGACAGCAATATTACAACTTGAAAAATGCATGTACTGTACTTGTTTTTAGTAAAATGTATTTCTTGTTACCTGTTTCTAATGTATACAACTGTATTTACTCTATATTAATTCTGGCCAGGTTGTGTACATTTTCGAAGGTTTGTTATGCCCCACCATGAATATGGCCGGGGTATAATATAATATTTGTCATGTTCGTCTTCCCTCCCTCTGTCCTTCCGTCACACTTTGCGTTTAGCTCAGATTCAAAGCTCGGTTTCAAAGAAACTATTCAAATATATTTATCAAACTTCATATGCTGATACATATTTGTGAGAGGTATTCAACTGCATCAAAAACTTTTTAACTTTATTGTAACCTTGACCTAACTTTTTTTTAAAGAAGATGGGTGAACAAGGCGTGCAGAATGCCTATAGCTTCAGATATTTAAAAAAAATCATATTCAATTTGTTAATGAAGTATTTAAAGTAAAGTTTTCATTATTGAAATTTATGAAATTATGATCAACAAAGCTTTTCTGAGAAAAAAAATCTCGGAAAAAATATTCTTTTATTAAATAATAAAATGGTATTCGTGGGATTCGAACCCCTAACAATAAAAATCCGGAGTATCATATTGCTTTCAGACTAACACGCTATCCACAACGCTACGCAGCTCATGATGAATAGTGGCATTTAAATCATGTTTGTGATATGACCCTTGACTTAATGGACTTCAAGTATTTCTCGGAAAGATGCGAATGTTTTGTCATAAAAGTGTACTTTTAAGGTATAGGGGGTCTTTGCTCCATGTTTTTGTAATCTAAAAAATGTATATCTTTATACAAACTTTTAGGATTAACTTTCAAAAAAATGGAGCAAAGACCCACTCATATCGAAAAATTTTGTTAAAGTATGAGAAAATGATCCCTTTTGTCCTCTTTAGTGTGTGTATGCTATTTTGTAGGCAAATAATTTCAGTCTTGGTGAGATTTTTGTAAATTGTAGAGATTTTACGTAAAGTTTCCTTTAATGTTAGATGAAATATCAAAGAAATTTTCGATGTAATTGAGATCTTATTTTTCACCTCATGTTTGTCGCACTATAGGCACTTCACCCGCCTTGTTCACCCATCTTCTTTGTATTTCTGCCAATTTTGAAAGAATCTATTCAGTGTTTTTAAGTAAGCATTTTCACTGATATATAAATTGATGAGAATTTATCAATTATTTTCTTCCTTTTTTTTTTTACCTTGACCTTTCCAGTGACCTTTGACTTTTTTTGTTTATTGTCTATAAAACTCAGATTTAAAGAAAGTGTTCAAGCTATTTTCATAAAACTTCATATACCAATACAATTTTTTACGTTGCAGTATTTTTCTTTTAACTGTGCAATTGTATTTTTTATTTTCTCTACAAATACTTTATCTTATAATAAGGATGCACTGAATTTCCAAAAATCAAGGCCTCTATCGACGAAAATTTTTCCCTATAAAGTTATTGTAATAACACTATGATCCGTTTTTATTGACGGTTTTATACTTGTCATTCCAAAAGGTGTCATAAAAGCTGGAATCAAGAAAAGTTTAATCTTAATAATTTTTTTTTCGCAAAAGAGTGAAAAGTTTTCTATCTGGATTTTTTTCTCTCCATATATCTTTTAAATTTAGATAGATCATTCATTGCAGCGGTTAGATTATCTCTGTATTTGGATTTCCCTTCAATGCCTCCGCCTTGTTTGTCTATAATAGGGTTTAAGGTAATATTAAAATCCCCATCTAATATCAAATTGTTATCACTCTCTTCTTTTAAATGATTCAACAAAAAATCTAAAAATTCAACTTGTTCAACTAAGTTATCTTTTGTTGGAGCATAAATATTTATCAATGTAAATTTTGTGTAATCTGGTAAAATAGATACTTTCAGAAATCTGCCCATATCATCACTGTATTCAATTATTAATAATCTATATGATGTGGAAATAAAATTGCTACCCCTTTGCTATTAGATTATTCATGAGTAAAATGATATCCGATTCCCACTCAATTTTCCATATCTGTTGATCTTGTTCAGTAGAATGTGTTTCTTGTAAATAAATAAAATGATTGGGAAATTTCTCTTTAAACCATGTAAACAAACATCTTCTTTTACTAGTTGAACCTAACCTCCTTACATTTTGAGGTATGCAAGTTATATTAAAACATAATCCATTTTAATTCTGTTGTAGAGCACTAACACAGGCTCACTCACAATAAAAAAGAGTGCAATAACCATTGCAATTGCATGTAAACAAATAGTCAATTTTTAACATAGAGCCAGGTATATAACAGAAACAAAAAAGAAAAAAAAAACATACAGCGTACGTACTAAAAAGGATAAGTCAATTTATTTCGAGTACTTTGGGCTTTTTAAACCAAAAATGTGTCTTTGTCATCTCAATCAGTATCGGGAATTTCAGTATCGGAAAGAAAAAAAACGGTAACATAATTTAGACTTAAACACTGCAGATGTGAAAAATCCGTATTGTTTAATACAATAAATGGAAAGGAAAATTTGTCAATTTAGACATAATTAGCAATAAATAATAATAATCATTATTGATGGAAAAAGCCGTGACAGTTTCAATAACGAAATAACCTGACATGAGCACATATTTAGCCACTATGTGCAAGATTAATGTCTGCAGTCAGGTTTTCAATAATTTGAAACCTGAGGAAGCCTAAATGTTTACCGTAAAACCTGGAGATAATTCATGCCATGTGTGTAACATATAGCGATAGGAGAACTTTGACGAGCCGCCTCCCTGCCCCATACTCGCCGTCATCGTTATGACCCTCTTGGATTGCGCCGGTATTATCTTTAAAACGGTACACTAACATACTGTGTTCAGCAGTTGAGTAGACTGGGTCAATAATATTTTTTTTCATAAAAGTTCCCGACTTGATTGTATGTTTGTTTTGTTGCTGCAGCTGCTTTGAATGTGATTCCTTCATCTGAGCAATCCATGGTGGACATAGGAGTCTGTTGAAGCTTTTCCTTATCTGATTGGGGTATCTCCCGGATATTTTCTGGCTTTGGTTTCAATACTTTGTCTCTGTACACATTTCCATTCGGGAATACTAATTTCTCTCCCACAAATCGTGTCATTATTTTCTCCTTCCAGTACTGATTATTTATCTCATGAAGTTTCTTTCTGTTTTCCGCGATTTCTATTGGTCTCTGTGGCGTGACGTAAAAAGGTCTTTCGGGTGCATTTGGTTGCGCGGACTGATCAGACTGGTCAGACGCTTCTCGATCTCTTTTGTTCAGTTCCCTTTGCGCTTGGAGAATTTTTTCCTTATCAGTAAATTTTGACAGCCTGCCTGTAATAATTTGCGATCTACCTGGAGTTTTCGGCCCATTTCTATGAATTTTTTGAAAGGAAGTGTCCACTCCAAAATGCTGCTTTATGAGTTGTTGGATTTTCTCAAATAAATTTTCCTCATTGTCTTCTGGAAGATTGTGAATAAGAATATTCTGATTCATTGACCTTGATTTTAAATCTGTGATTTCAGATTGCTGTTTTCTGACCGTTCTGTCTAAATCAATGACAACTGATTTTAACAGATCGATGTCTTCTATTTTTCCTCTTCAAGCAATTGAATATTGTCAATATTCTCCACTTGTTGTTGAGCAACATGAGATGTGCGAAAACCAAATCCATCTTCCTCCCATAGATCTTTCCCTATATCTTGTGTTAAACCTTTAATTGCTTTCAACGATTCTGTTATTTCCCTCAGGCTTATCTGCAAGATCGGTAGTGTCTGCATCGCACCGAGTAACTCAGGCGTGAACGGCGGCATGAATTCAAGAACAAACGAAATACCGCTAGTGCTGGAATCCGAAGTAGGCTTACCGTGTCCACTGTTACCTATTTGTACTGACATCCGCTCACGACTAGAACTCATAATTCAATTGTTCGAGGGGAAGGCAAAAAGGAAAACCCAAATTAATCACTGAAAACTCACCAAAAACTCCATTTTTTTTCTCAGGCAAAAGAAATCATTGCTCTTAAGGTCTGGCCAAACATTACTTCAATCTCCGATCCAGAAAGACGCACTTGAGGTCCAAAACGTCGGACCTCAGAAATTCATGACTACCCGGCCATAAGTCACGTGACTTCGCAAAATTTTACTAAACTCAAAAGCATCAAAACGTACGACTTTTCAACACTTTATACAACCATTCCCCACGATAAATTGAATTCCAGGCTTTTTGACATCAGAGACAGCTGCTTTTTCAATAAAAATGGAACTTGTAAATATACTTACCTTGTCATTGGTCTTTTACAAAATTATTTTGTTAAAAGGCACTCTGTTGTACACACAAGTACTCTGAAGTTGATATTAAAAATATGCTTGAGTATCTGATTGACAATATCTATGTAGTTTTCGGAGATCAGGTCTTCTAACAATCTGTTGGAATTTCCATGGGTACCAATTGGCCCCCTTATCAGCAGACGTATTTTTGTATTCATATGAAGCAGACTTTATTAAAAACCAGAAGTCTCTGATGAGACTGTAGTTCTACCTCTCTGTACGTATAACAAAGGAAAAATAGCACTTGAATTTGAAGCTTTGCAACATGCAAATTGAATTATGTATCTTAATGTAGTCTACATGTGTGCTAAGTTATATTGAAATCAAACGAAAACCGTTGAAGGAGTAGCGTTTTGAAAGTATTTCAGAGAAATTTTAATATTAGAAACCATGACAACACCATTCACTGAAATCAAAAACCGATATACATATTATGTATCGTAGTGTATTCTAATTGTGTGCCAAGTTAGTTGAAATCAGACCAAAACTGTAGGAGTAGCGTTTTAAAGGAATTTCACAGAAATTTCTATTTTCAGTAACCATGGCAACACCCTTCATCGAAATCAAAAACTGATGCACTAAAACATGTATCTTAGTATAGTCTTCTTATCTGCCAAATAATATTAAAAGCAGACTAAAACTGTAAGAGGAGTAGCGTTTCAAAGTAATTTCACAGAAATTTCTATTTTTAGTAACCATGGCAACACCGTTCATTGAAATCAAAAACCGATGCACTAAATTATGTATCATTGTACTGTCTACTTGTGTGCTAAGTTATATCAAAATCAGACCAAAATTGTAAGAGGAGTAGTGTTTTTAAGGAATTTCACAGAAATTTCTATTTTTAGTAACCATGGCAACACCGTTCATTGAAATCAAATAACGATGCACTAAATTATCTATCTAAGTACAGTCTACTTGTGTGCCAATTTATATTAAAATCAGACCAAAACTTTAGGAGGAGTAGTGTTGTAAAGAAATTTCATAGAAATTTCTATTTTAAGAAACCATGGCAACATCATTCATTGAAATCAAAAACCGATGCACTTAATTATGTATGATAGTGCAGTCTACTTGTGTGCTAAATTATATTGAAATCAGACCAACACTGTAGGAGGAGTAGCGTTTCAAAGGAATTTCACAGAAATTTCTATTTTTAGTAACAATGGCAACACTGTACATTGAAATCAAAAACCGATGCACTAAATTATGCATCATTGTACAGTCTACTTGTGTGCCAAGTTACACTGAAATCAGACCAAAACTGTGGGAGAAGTAGCGTTTTAAAGGAATTTCACAGAAATTTCTATTTTTAGTAACCATGGCAACACCGTTCATCGAAATCAAAAACCAGTGCACTAAATTATGTATCGTAGTGTATTCTAATTGTCTGCCAAATTAGATTGAAATCAGACCAAAACTGTAGGAGGAGTAGCGTTTTAAAGGAATTTCACAGAAATTTCTATTTTCAGTAACCATGGCAACACCCTTCATCGAAATCAAAAACTGATGCATTAAACTATGTATCTTATTGTAGTATACTTGTATGCAAAGTTATATTGAAATCAGCCAAACTGTAGGAGGAGTAGTGTTTTAAAGAAATTTCAGAGAAATTTCTATTTTTAGTAACCATGGCAACACCGTTCATTGAAACAAAAACCGATGCACTAAATTATGTATCTTAGTGTAGTAGACTTGTGTGCCACGTTATATTGAAATCAGACCAAAACTGTGAGAGGAGTAGCGTTTTGAAAAATTGTTTACAGACAGACAGACGGACGACGGACACCTTACTATCGCATAAGCTCTTCTGGTCTCTGACCAGTAGAGCTAAAAACTTCTACATGAGAAAAAGAAAACACTTGCTGTGGCCTTCAACTCGACATTTCGATATATCGACGACGTATTATCAATTAACAATAGTTACTTTCATTCATATGTCAACTTGATATATCTCGGTGAGCTTGACATAAAAAAAAATACCACAGATTCTGACACATCTCTTTCATATTTAGATATTTTGCTAGAAAAATAGTCTTTATGTTAAACGTGATGACTTCAACTTTTCAATCGACAACTTCCCTTACTTATGTAGCAATATACCCTTATCACCTACATACGGGGTTTATGTCTTTCAGTTGATTCGATACGCAAGAGCATGCTCTACGTATGAACACTTTCTAAAACGAGGCAAACTATTGAAAAACAAGTTGACGAAACAAGGATATCAACAGTGTGTTTGAAGTCATCTTTTCGCAAGTCTTACGATCGATACAATGACCTTGTCAGCACATACAACCTATCATTCAGTCAAATGCTGACTAACGTTTTTCACACTAATTGTTATGTCCTTATTTATACACTGAATTATCTACGGATTTTTCCGTTTTTCCCCCGAGCATGACAAGGAGCACTCGGCGGGTGTGACTGGTCGGCAGGGGATGCTCACTCCTCCATGGCACCTGATCCCACCTCTAAATTTTGAGGTCCGTGTTTGCTCTGCTCCAAATTTGTATCGTTTCCTTGGACTTTCGAGATTGAATACTATTCGTTATCTTCATATTTCCATTCAAAAACAGGAAAAAAACTATCAAATCTTAAAAACAAAACACTCATCTTGCACGTGTGTGTGTGTGTGTTTTCGGGAGGGGGGGGGGGGTCTTTTAATGTAAATTTCCATACTAAATTATCAGTGAAATATCGGACAAAAGTTAAGGAAAGCCCCACCCCACCCCAGTATTAGGTATATGATAAAATTGATTAAATGTAAAGTTAGCTGTTCATAAAACGCCCAAGCCATATAAAACATCAGCTTAATTTTGTCGCAATCTTGTCAAATTGTGTACTTCAGATTCTGCTTATAGTATAACAAATAATAATAGATTCCTTGACCAACAGTTTCCAACCCAGAAAAATCAAGTTAAAATTACTTACTTATACGTGTTCCTGCACATTGAAATTTATGTTATTCTGGTGGTAAATCGGTATAAATGAAAAAACTACTCATAGCGACTGTAAAATGTTGAATAGGTCTTGCAATGCGGACTCTCGTTGATAAACATCCATCATCCCACTGTGCATTGCGTAAGTAAAATGATAGTGGTGGCGAAAAGTTTGCTAATTTCGGTGGAATTAAATCAGAATGTCATTTGACCGGATGATTGACATTTAAACATGATGCAAATTCCTTATTGAATAATTACATGTAGTTTGGGTGTCACTTGATATTCTGATGGGTGTGAAGAAAAACTCGGGAACTCGTCACCACCAATCAGAATATCAAGTGATACCAAATCTACTTGTTCAATAACTATAACATGGAACACAATTTCCAATTAAAAGTTTATCCCATTGTTAGAATAATCAAAAGATAGCTTATAAAGGAAACTGATTGAAGGATTGAAAAAAACTGATTTTTTAAAAAAGTTTTATGTGAATTCTTTAAGTACTTGATTGAAATTCTCTTCTAGGAAATTTTTCTACAAACGGAACGAATTTTGAGTATCACGATAACACTCATGATTGGCCATTTTACGTGTATGATACATATGGAACCGAAGTTCCACACACAGTAGACTTTGATATTCAACGCACAGGATCAACCATTTCCTTTTACTTATGGGGTGATTTTAGCAATCCTTTCGAATTTGAATTATGTGAAATAGAAATAAATGGTGAGTTACATGGAATTGCATAAACTGTTGTGTTTGTCATCTTAAAAGCACCTTCATTATATAATCATTTTTATGATCTTCATGATCAGGGATTTAATTGTAAAGTACTGCTTTCGTATTTTTAATCTTTCTACAGGATGTGAGGTTGACCATTATGGTAGCGACTGTCTGCCCTGTAGTAAGTCTGAAAATTGTGAAGTATGTGACGTTAACAATGGAGTATGCTATGTCTGCAGAGAAAGTTACACAGGACCGAACTGTAGCATAAGTATTACCCTCTTCCTTACTTTCCTTTTTATTGTAACGTTATAATGCACTTATATTTTATAAACTATCAATTTGCAAATCGTTTTAAAAAAATCACAAAATCAACTCTCTGCTAACTTCAAGAATTTTTATGTCTTTGGAATCTTTTATGTAGACCCTGTTTGTTAGTATTATTTGTCTGGTGTTAGGCATATACTTTTACTCCTACTTAATTAATTTTAACAAT